TTAGCTCTGGGGTCTGTACCAGGACTGTTGTAGCTAACGTTAGCTCTGGTGTCTGTACCAGGCTGGCAAATGAACTTTAGGTTCAACAGTGTTTATTTTTGTGTTGTTTTATCCAGTTTTGTTTCTTAGTTATTTTTTTTATATATTACATTGGACTGGATTAACATAAAACATAAAACGTTGAACTTCTTCTTTTACTATTTTGTGTTACTACGAGCAAATGTCATCAGAAAACATAATAATTTCTCGACCAACACGGCAGCGTCTCCTCTTCTCCATATAATTACCATGAGGTTAGCCGTCTGATAGCTGGTTATTAAGTCCAAAACACTGCTTTATTCACATTCAGAGAAGTTTGACCTTTTAAAAAAACAACCACTGCAGCTTCGGGACCCGGTGCTCTGTTATTCAGACATAAAAACCAGAGTTGTAAATATATGTTTCAGTAAAGTTGGCTGGCAGAGAAAAAGAAAAAAAAAAAACCCCAGCTCCTTGACCACAAACCCATCATTTCCACGACCCTCTGTCATGTCACCGCCTCACAAAGAAAGAAAAAACACATGAATAAAGTTCACACGCTTCACTGACTTTCAACTCAAACAAAGCACATTACAGAAAACAGTTGCTTAGCAATGTTTGCTGAGTTGCTTTTGGAAAGTTATTAGGAGATAAAGTGGTTCTAAGGAGACACAGCAGCAGTCAGTGGAGGTTGATGAACAAGTGAAATCCACGGCCTGCTCCACCAGTTGGTAGTTTTGTTCTCCACCCCCGGCCCCCTCCGTACCCCCCCTCACCTCCTGCAACAACATCTTTTATTCATGAAGTCACATGATTATCAGGACTCACAAAGGCTACACAAGTACAGTTTTTTTTACTGTTATTACTGGAGATGTTCTCTAATGCTGCCTCCCCTCCCTCCCTCCCTCCCTCCCTCCTTTCTTCTCTGCCTCTGCCCCAGTACAACAGCTACGTTGAACACACCAAGTCTCTGCCACTCAACCAGTCGCCAGAGGTATTTGGCCTGAATGCCAACGCAGATATCACCAAGGATCAGGCGGAGACGCAGCTCCTGTTCGACAGCATCCTGCTCACACAGGTAAATCCAGCCCGCGCTCTGATGCAGCTGGATTCACGTCTGTCGTGTTTGTCAGTAACTCACCCAGCACAGCATCAACACAGGGCCGGCCTGGTTGTTGTTTTTTTTAAATTTATTTGGATGTGCACCAAAAATAGTTTTACATTGAATCAACTCTGACAAAGTGAAGAGGAACGGGTCTGTAACTGTCATCCTCCAACTTCAACAGTGCATTTAAAAAGTTGTGTTTTACAAACTTTGATTTGAAAACTGTAGGCGGGCAATTGGATAATTTTCAATTTTTTTTGTTGAGATCAAATATCTTTTTCCCTTGTTGTTCATGCCTGTTTTAGCTCCTCTCCAAATTAGCTTAAAACTTTTTTTTTCTCCAGATTTTTGCCTTTTGCTGGATTAGGTTGACTGTTCTCTCTCCACTGAGGGTATCAGGTCTAAACCCCTCCTCACCTAATGACCACTGGGACCTGACCCCCGTCACCTCAGACCCCCGTCACCTCAGACCCCCGTCACCCCGCCATCCTAGGATTAACTAGTAGAAGATCAATAAAAGTTATTAGTGTCTAAAAAGAGTCAAACCACAACACATCAAAGACAACGAAGCTGACGCTCATTTCATTTTTCACTGTGTCAATTAAAAAGACCCAAAATGTTGGCGATGTACGGTTTGGTCTGGTCACCAACCAAAACAATAACATTTTCCCAGAAGCTCAGCTGGAAATGTCACTACGTAGTTGGTAGAAATTCAAATGGAAGATCATTCACCAGAACAGCAGTAGACTGGTGGGACTGAAACAACATAGGGGGCGGGGGCTGGCATCATGACACCACGTAAGACACAGGCTGATTTTTAGTATTAATAGTTTTATTAGCATTAAAATCCTCCATCTTTTAATTGATGATTAAATAGTGTTTTGATGATTTATTTTATTAAGGGAAGCTTTTCTTTAATAATAATCACAATAATTATTATATCTGAAATCCCTGTTTTTTTTTTGTCTAATTTGTTGAGTCTGTTTCAGTTTCTGCAGCTGCTGAAACAAAAAAAAAAAAAGAAAAAAAAACAGAATTTCAGGCAGTAGAGAGGACACTCTCTAATCCTTCTGCTGGACTGAGCAGCTGCTCAGACTCCAGTGAACAGCTTTAGCTGCAAATACATTTTTAAATAGAATTTTGTTTTTTTTTCTTTCCTCTGTGGAGAGAATTCTCAAAGAGAAATAAGACAGACGGCAGAGACAGAGTCTGACTCTCAGCAGCCCTGGTGTATTAGTGTGATTGTGATCATCATCACCATCACCATCATCATCATCATCAGCTCTGTAAAGTTCTCTATGAGAATGCATCCTTCTGTTTCCTTATTCCTGCCCTTATTTACTGCTAAAAAAAAAAAAAAATCTAAAAGGCTTCACATCATCAAAGCTTGAAGATGACAGAGACAAAGTTTCGTCTTCAATCACAAAACGGGACGAGTTTTATTTATCCCACTATCAGATTCTTTATTTAAACATTCCAGTTCTGCCTTTTTCCCTCATCAAACCAGGTTTTTTTTAAAAAAAACCAACAGAATCCCTGGTGGGAATTAGACGCCTCGCGTCCCCACGAGTGTCTTTTCAGGTCCTCGGCTACAGTGAGGTTTTATTTTGACAGCTATAAAATAGGCCCGGCCACAAATAAACAGGAAAATTATTTCCGCAGGCGTCGCCACTTCTGGACGTCAAGCTAAGAATTAAAGCACAATGGACTCTGACATTTATTCATACATGCTCCATTCAACAAGATTAACAGCGGCTTCAGTCATGTGTGAACTTTATTTGCATTTATTACGCGCTCATCTGTCTCAATAACCGACAAACACGGCCCTCGCCTTCACGTGGAGCCAAGCAGCCATTTGTCATTCTCCCACTGTAACTGTGAGTGTGTGTGTGTGTGTGTGTGTGTGTGCTGTTTGTTCTTTATTTCTTCACAGTTGAACCAATTATCTGCCTCGCAGCTGTCAGAACCAGCTGAGGCAGCAGCAGAATCGAAGGCAATTTGTAGCCCACTACCTGTGGAGGGCTGTTTGAAAGGCTGCCACGACTTCTCTGCCAAGTGGGGATGGGCCCTGAGTGTGTGTGTGTGTGTGTTTCACTGATGAGGTGGAGGCTGAGTCAACAGCATCACACTGACGAGGATCAAACACCTCCTCACAGGCAACTGCCCTAATACTGATGATTATTAGTAGTATTATATGTGTTTATGTTCCGCAAAGAACAAGACCAGGGGTGTGAGTTGGCAAGAATCTGACGATACGGGCAAAGAAAAAGACCAGAGGTGTGTGTTGGCAAGAATCTGACGATACGTATCACGATACGGGGGTAACAATATGATAGATTGCGATACTATGGGCACGTCGATGTATTGAGGGGGGTTTTTTCCCCCCCAGTGTAGCTGTAGTCCCAGTGTGATCCTGGTCTGAGACTCTGTTCCATCTGAACATCAGTTCCTAACTCTGGAACAGAGGGATCTACATTTGGAATCACTAGAGAAGAAAGAAAAGAAAAAAAATCATGAACCAACACCAGGAATATTGGACTGGGAAAAAAAATCAATAACTGATGGAGGAGGAGATTGATACGGGATCAGGAGAGGAAATATCGCGATATTTCAGCAAATCAATTGAATTTTCTTACAGTCCTAATTAAGTGATTTTGCCTTTACTTTTTTACTTTAAAGTAATATGAAAGAAGCTAAATTTTTATTCCTTCTCCAGTCCTACTCCTCCAGCGGAGACGCCGCGTCCTCAGACGACATGGTGTTGGACGTGGCAGCCGACGTCCTGAGCAGGCTGCCCGGAAACTTTGATTTGGAGGCAGTGATGAGACGTTTCCCCACGACCTACAACCAGAGCATGAACACGGTGCTGGTGCAGGAGATGGGTCGCTTCAATAAGCTGCTCAGCACCGTCAGAGAATCCTGCGTCAACATCCAGAGGGCCATCAAGGTACGAGATTAATGTGGAGATACCACTGAGGTGTAGTACTACGACTCCACAGTTAGCACCGAGCTAATACACACAAGGCCATTAGTCCTCTACACAGTCTGGACCACAAGGTCCATTAAAGCCAGCATGTGTGTGTGTGTGTGTGTAGGGCCTGGTAGTGATGTCTGCAGAGCTGGAGGAAGTGGTCAGCAGTATCCTGAAGGGCCGTGTTCCAGCCACGTGGATGAAGAAGTCCTACCCCAGCCTCAAACCACTGGGGAGCTACGTCAACGACTTCTTGGAGCGCCTCAAGTTCTTACAGGTACTGGAGGCTGAAAACATTCACAGTCTAGAAAGGTTTACGGGTACTACACGAGTACTACACCAGGGATCTGAGGGACAGACTGTAGTACAGACTGTAGTAACTTCCCCAGGGAAGAACATGGTGGTTTGTATGAGGAAACTGAGGCATAATAGGAAGGAAAAATGGGAAGTCTGGTTTCAGGAAACTTCTCTAGTGATTCCAAATGTAGATCCCTCTGTTCCAGTGTTAGTACTGAGAGAGACTAGGATCACACTGAGACTACAGTTACACTGGGGAAAAAAAACAACCCCTCAATATATCTTTGTACTTGTAGAATCACAATATATCATATTATTGCCCCTGTATCGTAGTACACATGGTATCACCAGATTCTTGCCACTACACAGCCCTAGTACTTCTTTCAGTGGTTCCCATTTATATAGAGTCAGATACTTGTTAAATGCAGTATCTTAAATATTGTATTTGATGTTGTTAAAATGGTTGGTTCCTGTAGAGAGGCTGTTACTTTTGGTTCTCTGTTCTAACTCCTTAGCATCAGCAAAACTATAGAACACTAGACTATTTAAAAAAAACAAACAAAAAAACAAAAACAAAATACACCCACAAACCAGCTGTTCTCTTTGTGGACAGAGACGCCGTTCTCTGTCCACCAGCAGCCATAGACTTGTATGTCACCATTGTTGTTCCTACAGAACGACAGAGGCTGAGAACGGCGTCTCAGAGTGAGAACACAGCCTGACCGGCGTCAGGGCTGATCAGGTGGAATCACATGGAAAGTTCACTCTGGTACAAACCCTAACCTTCAGAGTCAGCAGCAGTTCGACTGAGGCCGAGTCACAGAAAGTTACACAAGACTTCATGTGACCGCACTGCATCACTTCCCATGTTTCCTCTAAGACGAATGCACCCAAAACTACAACATCTAGTTTTCTTCTCTTTTTAAACCAAGGCTTAAAAATGTTTAAGAAAGCTAGAGGATATACCAAGTATAGAGCAGTGATCAACAGGTGGCCCGCGGCCCAAATCCAGCCCACTGAACCATCAAATCTGGCCCGTGACTAGATTCTAAAATAAGTTAGAAAGAATCATTTCCATTTCATTTTATATTGAACGTAGTTTATTTTGACATCTCAAATCAAAGTGTTACTAAAAGGAACAGAGGTCACAGTCCAAAAAAACTAAACAAAAATAAATCCTCCAACTCAAACAAAAAAAAACAAACAAAACAGACAAGGCAACTGTGAACTGAGTCACCGTGGTTCTCATGTGTAGTCCTTGATCTGGACCAGAGGCCACTGATGAAACAACTACAAAGACTTGATCATAATCAAGATCTTCATTCTGTTCTAAATAACTACACATTAACTAGTTGGTACCAGGTCCCAAAACCAGACGGATCCAGGTCTGATTTTGGAAACTTGGTACCATGGTACAGCACTCAGTAAGAATTCACGACTGGATTTCGTTAAGCACCAAGAAGAAGGGGGACGTGAAGGGGAGAAGAGTGTGAAGGGGGGAGGGGTGTGGGGGTGTGTGAAGGAAATCCAGTTCATGAAACTCTGACTGATTTTAAACTAAAGCAGAAATAAATCTAGGATTAAGTTTAGTTTAATTCATCAGTGACCAAAGACCAGATCTTAGAACATCTATGTAACAACATGATCATCTGGAAACAGTCACAATATAAATCCATATACAGCCAATCAGGGACCAGGAGTGGACGATCCTGTCAACTGTCGTCAGCACGGGTCCTGAGGGGTGGGGGGGCAGAACCTGAACATGAATGAGTACAGTAAATTTTCTACACCACAAAACAAAAAAAAACAAAAAACAAAAAAAAACTGACCACTAGAAGGATTATAATTTAGTACAGACCTTCAGACACCCAGTAGGACGGAGGCAGGACAGGATCTTCTTGGCTGCAGTCCAGACCAGGATGTAGTTTCTCCAAGGTCCATAGTCTCAGGTCTGTTGGATCAAAGATTAACATGAGAAAAATATAAAATCATAAACAAAATGTACACCAGAGAAGGACAGACCTGACGTCTTTAATGGTCTCTTCAGGGGAGGCGGGGGTCATCCTGTACATGTGTGGTAGTAGAAAAGGTCCAGTTAACATCTGTCAGCAGGACAAGTGGGGGTGGGGGGGGGGCAACCATTAGATTTTCTTTGACAAAGACAGAGACGGGGGGGAGGAGAGACCATTAGATTTTCTTTGACAAAGACAGAATCTCAGGAGACAGAACATCACAGAGGACATGCTCACATTTAGTCCACTCCAGCTCTCTGGGGTCCGTCCAGATCATGGTCAAACTTTGGTCTGCCGTGTGAACAGACAGCACAGAACCCACTTATCCAAGGTCAACCCTGCAGCAGTCTTAGAACCCTGGACCCAGATCAGACAGTCAGTCAGATTAAACTTGAACAGATTTATCAAAGGTCAATGTGAAGATCAGACCTGAAGACTTCCTGTGGCTGAGAAGATCTTTCGACTCAGGAGTTGGTCCACCTGGTCCACTTCCACCCAACAGTCCAGGAGGCCAGAAGTTCAACAGCTGGTTTGGATCCAGAACCACTGAGAAGATCTTACCTGTTGGACTGACTGATCTTACCACATCAGTCAATCAGAGCTACACCATCACCCACCAACACCACCACCCAACTACACCGACCATAAAACACTGGTACACAGTTTACCAACATTAAACACCAGTGAATTAAATTAATACCCTGCCACTTGAGTGGACAGTTTGCTACAGTGCTACACCTGTTCCTCAACTACACCTTCAAGACCATCATCAGCTTCACCTTCATAAACGTTTTACAAAATCAAGGTTAAAAAAAGAAGACAGGATTAAAAAAAACAAAACAAAACAAATTTTCAGTTTCCCTAGTCTCAGACTTAACAGCATACTTCAACTGAGGTAAATTTAGCATCTGTTAGCATCAGTACCAAAGGTCCACATCAGTTCCTCCATCTTCTGATATTCAGCCCAGTTACTTGTCAATACATTAAAAAAAAAAAGTTGTAAATATGAACTTATTCTTTATCAAGTCTTGTGTTGTCTCTTTGCCAAGTATATTTTCTAACCTAAACGCGCAATCTAACCTATATGCCCTCCACATTATGCCAGCATATTTATAAATTTGACAGCTTGCCCTGTGTGTATCCACTAAAACGAATAATTTTTGCAGGAGAAAATGTTCCCTGCAGGGAGGCCTCCCAAATCGTCGTCTAAATACCACAGAAGTAGAAAATATACTTGTCAAAGAGATGACACAATACTTGGTAAAGATAAAGTTCTAATTTACAATTTTTTTTTTTTAAACAGTGTATTGACAAGTTACATGGGTTAAATAGCAGAAGATAAAGGGACTGATGTGGACCTCTGGTACTGATGCGAACAGCTGCTAAATTTACCTTTCAGTTAAAGTATACTGTCAAAACAGAGACTTGGTGTAACTGAAAATTTGATTTTTTATTTTTTTTAATTTGTCTTGCATTTTTTTTAACCATTTGATTTTGTAGAAAGTTGAGAAAAATCTGATGGTGAACTTGATGATGTAAGGCCAAATAGTGGCAGTTTAGATTTAACCTGGAAAGTTGAACATTCTAAAAAAAAACAAAAAAAAAAAACATACAAGTTGGTTGTTTAAATCAACAGCAGAAGCAAACTCACCAGCCTTACAGTCACATTTCATTTACTCTACAGTATCCCAAATATCCTAAGGCTAATACAAACCTGGAAGAACAGAGGTAGAACAGAGGAAGTGCAGTACAGACTCACAGCACTGACAGTGACGGCCACATCCAGTGAGAACTCAGTCAAACATCACATGAATCACAATATCTACAAACATCCAGAGATTCCTTAAGTTTACATTTACAAAGTTCAATAGTCATGCAAATACATTGAGCAAAAAGGTACAAAGGCAAGCAATACATGTACTGTACATATACATTTACAAAAGGTACAATGGTAGGAATACACGACTTGTGGAGTCCTCGTCATTCATCTTGGTCAGTGGAGCTGGAGAACTGGGTAGTCACTCTGGACAGCAACCGCAACATCTGAAATTGTGGAGGATGACTAGGATATCCAAAATGGTGGAGGAAGACCAGGACATCCAAAATGGTGGAAAATGATCACAACGTCTAAAAGCGTAAAAGATTGCCGCAAACGGAACGTCGATCTTGTGGAAAATCGCCGCAAAATGGAACGCCAACCTTGTAGAAAATTGCCGCAAAACAGAAAGTCGACTTTGTAGAAAATTGCCGCAAACGGAACGTCAACTATGTAGGAAATTGCCGCAAATGGAACGTCAATCTTGTAGGAAATTGCCTCAGACGGAAGTCAAACACGTAGAAAGTTGCAGCAAACGGAGATCAAAATTGTGGTATGCTGGGATTATATAAACTGCCAGTGACCTATAAATTAAAAATCTAAAAATGTGTCTGACAGACTGGGCTACACTGGGCCTACAGCACAGTAGACAGGTAGGCATGGCAGCCAAGAGGAAGTACTACGATGGCCCTGAACCCATTACTGGAAGTCAGCCTTTGGACGTTTTGCTATGTTTAAAACATTCAAACACACACACAGCTAGGCACGGCAGCCTGTTGGGACACAAGAGCAGCGCGGCGGCCGCACAGAATAAAAGAAAAACCAAGGTCCTACTGTGTTGAAGATCTTCAGGACGATCAATCTGGAGAATTAACCAGACAGCAGTCATGTTAGTACTGGAGTGAGAACAACATTAGTCAAATAATGACTTTCTTATTAAATAGAAAACCTGGGTTTGACTCCACAGGTGTCTCACCTTGTCTTGAGTTTCAGGAGTGGACTCTGACTCTGGACAGCTTCCAACTCGTCTCCAATCCCAGCATATCTGTTCATGTCAAAACCTTGTTAAACTACCAGTCTGATACAATGTGAACAGTTTTCTTTTCGAAATTCACTGTAGAAGACAATGAACTAAAATGGTAAAACATGGTTCAATGAGTAAAACCACTCACCAAACATACTGTGACCATGTGGGTCAGCCATTTTTAAAACTCAGTTTCAGCAAAGCAAAACGGAGAAACAAACTGTTTTTAAAAAAGTTTCCCTCCACTTTAAGTCTTAGACAAAATTCTAGCTAAAATTAATTCACTAAGTCAAAAACACCAACAACAGCAGGGAGGTAAAGTCATCGGACCAGGTCGAGCAGCCATTAATTTCTTCTTCGTCCACCTGTGGCTTTTAACCAGAGCGGCGCACTTTTTCAGCGTTTGACGTCGCTCGACGCTACCGCCGTTTTGCCGCATGTTTGTGACGTAACAACACAAATAACAGCGTGATTGGGCCGAGTCGTGTGGGGCGGGGCGAGGCGACCGCAGCAGTTTTATTTCGTACCGGTCTGTTTGATTTTCCTGTTCCCACTTACGTTCCCCAACGTTTTCGCTTCTGAGGATGTGGTGGAGGATCGCATGGAACTAACATTTTTAGAGGCGCGGGTTTTATTGTCCGTACACTCAGTATACGTCCGTGATTATGATTATATAACCGGAGTATCACGGCGCTTATACTTTGTTATAAATAAAACAACAGACACGGACGAACGTTTCCTGTCGGAGGGAGCGAAGTCATTTTAATTTATGTATCCAATCACTCCTTCGAGCAACGCATACTTCCGGTCTGCGCTTCACTGTCAACCTACACATCCGGTTTAATAAACAATACACGACCAGGCTCTAAGAGCAGGCAGAACAAACTTTTTCAGAATTATATTAAATTTCATCCCAGTTTCGATATATTTGAAAACATTTTCCACATCTTTATTTTAAAATCGTAGAGGAGCAACAACAAACAGTTTTTACATGGGGACAAATGATACGAAGTATTTGGTGTCAATTTTTAGAAAGTTTACCAACTCTGTAGTAATTGAGTTGTTAAATACTGCTTGGTCACTTCTGTTTTTTTTATTATTGTTTTCACTGACTTCCAGTATAATAGAGGACCTGTGTTTGTGGGAATGTCTTCAGGCAACAGTGAAACACGGCTCACTTTATTATCACAGTGTGATGATGAACTGTATCTGTTATCTTTATCTCGACCCTCCTGCTTCTGTGACACGTCACCATCATAAGAGTCTTTTTGTTTTCTTTTGAAAAGACTATTCACTTCATTCCAATGCATTTTTTCAACCTTGGGGCATTCCCGGAATTCAAATCATCTGAATGTCATCACCTAAAATTTGTAGTATTTTTTTAAAACACTGATTAAGTAATTATTATTCTTTTTTACTTGATTAAAAACACCAAACACACACCCTGACTCTCCGTTGGTCCCTGCTGTGTTTACAGGACTGGTGTGATCATGGGATGCCCGCGGTCTTCTGGATCTCGGGATTCTTCTTCACTCAGGCGTTTCTCACAGCCGGCCAGCAGAACTACGCCAGGAAGCACGCCGTCCCCATCGACCTGCTGGGCTTTGACTTTGAGGTGTTGGATGACCGACAATACAAACAGCCCCCGAAGGATGGTGAGTTACACAGACTGCAGGGGCAGGAGACGGAGGGTGGATCTGCTGAGACGAAGTAACGGTCGTCCAGGAGTGAATGTAGTGTCGCTGCTGCTGAATGTTAATAGAAGACGTTTCCTCGGGTCAGAACCAGACCCAGACCAGTTGACGGGGAACAGGGTTTTTGAAGGATTGAGTGATAAAAAGACAAACAATCAGTGGGTGAACGATAAGAGGGGGATGAAAACTGACTGATAGAAAATTAGACAGTGAAGTACAACACCACAGTGAGTCAAACTGCAGACTTGTCCTGAATCAGCCCCCCGCCGCCGCCGCCGTCGTAGCTCAGAGTTTTATCAGACACACTCTCAGCCTCAATCAGCATCCAGCCACAGCTGCAGCTCAGCCGACTCCGTCACACTCTTCATCTGATGAGGCCTTTGTGCATTTGTCTGTGTGATTTAGACTGAGTTGGTGATAACAACGTCTCACCCTTTTATTCTTCACCCATTAAAAAAAAAGTCTCGCAGTTTGAAAAAGTCACTTCACTCTGTTAAGAGAACTTCAGAATCTGAGCCCATTATTAAACACTGTCTTTCACCTCCGACCTCCTGTGGCAGGTGTCTACGTCCGTGGCCTGTTCCTGGACGGCGCCCGATGGGACAGAAGATCCAGGCTTCTGGCCGAGTCCTACCCCAAAGTCCTGCATGATCCAATGCCAGTGGTGAGGAGTTATTACAGTTATTAAAGTTCGCTCACAAAAACATGTCGATCTTAATAAACAAGTGAATGAAATCTGACAATTACAATAATCAAACTAAACAAGTGAATGAAATCTGACAATTAAAACAAACGTGTTACATTATAAACAACACGAAGCGTTCAAGTCCATCGACGACCGAGCGTCAAAAACTGCTTTATTTATGTTTGTTTTTGAACAGGCTTAAAGACGGGCAGCCCCCTCACATCCACAGGCGGGAAGTGAAAATCACACATTTTTAAAATTTCTTTTAAATCATACATACGGGAAGACGCTGTTGATATATTCCTATAAATTTGTTACGGAAGTCCTGTTCCTCCATTCCGATGTACGGCGTTAAAACAAAATTTGCACGGGAACTAGTTTGCCAGCGAGCGGATGTGTACATCGTCCCGCTGCGCTATAAGCGGAAGATGACTTCGTTTACATTCGCGGATTCTACGCCATACATTGAATTGTGCTACGTTCGCTGACTTATGTTTGTGTTGGTTTTTGGGGAAGTTTTCGCCCTTCACCTTGGCTCACAGGTGTGAGTCAGACTATTCCGATGTTTTTACGTCCTAAATTACGACGTCACCTGCGTTAGCACATTATGTTACAGTATGTGAGTTACGACTTACTCTTTCATGCTATGATGACGGTGCGGTCCTTCGTGTTCCCTGCAGTTCTCGATCCTAAAAATAAACCCAAACTTCTCGGTAAATGATTAAACCCGAGTTTTTTTTTTTGCACATCCACTTCAGTGCGTGCGAATGCTCATTTACAGTAATTATTTTTGCCTAATGCACCCACAGAAACACGCGTGACTTGTTTTTATGCCTGAGTTGCTCACATCAAATCTCACGTCCCTGTTGCCTCTCGTTCCGCGATAATCGGTACCTGAAGCATTTGAGCGGCACTTTTTCCCAAGGACAAAACGGTTTTAACTGAATGATTAAACAGAGAGGGATGAGTGGGTGTACGCTTCGTTCACACGTCGGCGTGGGCAGCTGTGAGGCCTCGGTTTTTCTTTTCTTTTTTTTTACCAGCTTCAGGCAGCCTGTGGAATAATAATGACAACGCGGTTGCATACGTACATATCTTACATTAATGTGATGTTTGTGAGGAGGAGCGTTATTGATTCTGTGTCTGTGAAATGCCCCCGGTGTCAAAAATACTCCCATGAGTCACGGCTGGTTGAGCCTGTTAGCTCAGCCGCGCAGATGTTCATCAATTTTGTTGTTTTTATCAATAGGACGTGAATCTCTGAGGTGAAGTCTTACGACACCCGTGGGTGTAGCGTCACCCAGAGGGACGTCAGGAACAGCAGTTAGCGTTAAAGTAACCATCAACAAAGAAGAAGAAGAAGAAGAAAAAAACAAAACAAAACACGAGTTTGTCGTCAGTTTGGACCAAACTGTCAGTCACTGAGATGGGTGAAAAAAAAAAGGGAACAAATCTGAACAGTGACTTCTGTTTTTTAGGCTCCATTTATGACGGGACAGAACTTTATCTCTTCTTTGTGGTTTCCTGTTTTATGAGCGACCTCGTTCCTGTGGATCATAAAAGGTTGATAAAAGCCACATTAAAAAAGATATTAGTTCTAAATTTACGGCCCAAAAAAAAAAAAAAAATCAATTTGTAGAGAAGGACAACTTAGAATTCCAGTGGTTGTGATTGTGTTCAGAATAGTACGGTAAACTAAGAAGGTCCTTTATTTTTGACAGGATTTTTGGACACTGTACAATACTGCAACTGGCAATTATGTACACAGAGATACACGGACCGCAGTTTGAGAACCACTAGCTCATACTGTAGACTAGGAAAAATTGTAGGATTCATCTTTCCTGATTACTGAACTAAACTGATCACAAATCAGTTGTCATCAACCACCATGACGGTTGTCCCGCTCTGATGAATCAGCTGATGATTTTACTGTCAAATCAATGTGTGAACCATTGACCAAAGTCACTGTCACTCGCCCTGACTGTTTCTCCCTCTCTCTCGCTTTGTGTCAGATGTGGTTGAAGCCCATGAAGCGACAGGAAGTCCCTGACAGGATGTGCTACGTTGCACCCGTCTACAAAACGAGTGAGCGGCGCGGAACTCTGTCCACCACAGGTCACTCCACCAACTATGTCATCGCCATGACCCTGAGCACCAGCGTTCCTGCAGATCACTGGATTAAACGAGGGGTGGCGCTGCTGTGCCAGCTCAGCTTCTAGAGGGGCAGACTGTGGGCTAGCTAACTCTTACCCAAGCTAGCTAACTCTTACCTAAACCCTACTGAGGCTAACCTTTAACCTTTGCCTTATTTATTTTAGTTTTGTTTTCACTTATACATTTATTGCTATTCCTCATCTTTTTTTTATAAATTTATCTAATTAACAATTCTATACAAATTGGGAAGGTGGGGGTCCAACCCCTGACCCCTGACCAAAAACCCTGACTCACTCCCTTAACCACAACTTAAGTAAAAAAGAAAACAATGATCGAAAAAAAACCCCCAGAAACACATTTTCTTTGGAACATTTTTTTTGATGTTATGTTAAAAAAAAAATCTCATTAAAAGTCTGACCTTCATCGTGTCCACGTGAAACTTCACACACGTTTGGTTTTCTCATCAGACCCTGACCTTTGTTGACAGCTTCAACAGCATGTGCTGTGTTCCCACATTTATTCATGAATCAGCGATCCTCGACCTGCTGATACGGACAGAGAGTTTGAAGAACAGGACACCACACCACACTCCTCAGACACCAGTGAAGTTTTTCACTGATTTTATTCCCCCCCCCCCTCAGTGGAGAGGGGGCGTACCAACAGGCAAACAGCATGAATGTCACATGATACACTTCATATTCAGATGATTGGACAAATGTACAGACGTCTGAAGCAGAGCTGAGAACAAACGGACCGTCGTCACGTGACAGCTCTTGTTGTTCTGCAAAGAAAGAAGGTTCCTGATTGGCCGCCTCACGTCATAGAAGAGCAGAATCTCCCCACAGTGTGATTAAATTACAGCAGTGGCAGAGAAACAGCATTGGTTCAAATAAAGAACCGAAGAATCGAAAGATCCAAATGAAGAGCAGCTTTGAGAACGGCACAGGTCGAGAATTCAAGTTCAACAGCAGACCATGTGACCATGGAGCTGAGAGTTCATCTGGGTTTGAGGAGTTCTGGTACCGTGAGCAGTAAACACCTCCTCACTTCTACGTTCACAGTTCAGTTTCGACCCGACAGCGAGTCCCCGATGTTTAAAACGATCCGAACGCTCTTCACGTTCACTTCATTTAAAAATTAACAAAAACTCTTCAATACTGAGAGAAAACTAGAAAAACGTTTTTTACACTAAACACGACGTTATTACTGTTTGACTCCATGAGCTCCGTGAGCTGACCAATGACAACGATCCACCAAGAGACGTGGACGACGGACGTCACACAGTGACAGCATAAATAAAGACACACACGAGCGTTAATCTGTGCACGCCGGCACTTTAAGCACATTAACAAACGGAATGTTGGGGGGGGGCAAGCAAATGGAGGGGGGACGCGGGGTAGTTAGTGTCAAGCACCTGCCACTGAAGTCTCACGCTTGGATCCAAAACTTGGCACATTTGATGACAATGACCGTCCAGAACCGCGGACAGAGAGGAATGCTGATTATATAAAAAAAAAAAAAAAAAAAATGAAACGATGATTAAAAAAAGAATTGACACGACAGGTGTAAGGAATGCTGATTTTAAATTTGAATATGTGGTAGGAAGGGTAGGTCAAAAAGTTCTAAGACAAATAAGGAACACTTCAGACACCAGGTCACGACCTGATCCGTGGTCTGGACTAAGGACTGACATCCATTCCGTTCCATTACGGTGGTCAAAAAAGAGGGAGAAAAAAAAAAAAAAAAAATCAGAGGGAACCAGATCTGTTGAGGTGCTGAGTTCTGATTGGACCTTGTGAGGTTACAGTACTTTGTGATACCAGCACCGACGTGACGACTCAGCCTTTGTTAGCGTTCCTGAGGAACAACAACAGAACGGGTTCTTCACCGTGGCAACCGTGGCAACAGAACGCGACCCCACTGCAATCTGTTAACGCAAAACTTCAAGGCATAAATTTGTACGCAATATTTACTCAAGAGTATTTGGATTTGGATTTCTGAACTGGGCTACGTTGCAGCCAACGGTCGTGTATCGCTAAGTCACAGCAGTGGACTAGTTTTCCGAACAACTACATTCAAACGTAATTGCTTAAATTCCAGATGGGTGAAAAACCGACAATTTATATTTGAAGAAGTCCCTCATTTTTTTATATTTACTACAAATATTTAAAAGAGAAAAAAAAACCCCACTTAGATTGTCTGAAGTGGTTAACAAGTGCCACAGCAGAGGGCGCTCTAAGTCATGTAGGTCGAGGGTTAATTTAATTTCCTCCATCTTCATTGGTCAAACAAATGACGGCTAGTTTACTAGCAAGCAAGCTAACGTGTCGTCGGTCAACAGTACCTGAACGACAGTTCTACAAAACCTAAACAAACCAAATACTGCGTTTCACCTAGAACCGATACTACGATAAACTACAGTTCTACACTGATTGTCCTGAAAATACTGACTGGTCTCCAAAAAAAAAACTAAGATTTTCAGTTTTAAGAAATTAAATTGAAAAAACAAACAAACTGTTTTTAGATGTTAATCAGGTTTTAGTTTCATAAAACTCACGTTAAATATTCTTTGCGTAATTTAGTTGTTAATTCGGTACCAATTCGTTGACTTGCGGCGGAAGCTCCAAAGATTTTAAGTTTGTTTTTGTTTGGTTATTTTTTCACCTTCGCGGGCTGAGAGCCAATCACAGCACTGATCATAGACACCATTCACACCAACGGTCAATTTAGAGTGAACGGCCGTTCACACTGACCAGTCCAGAGAATCTGAAGGACAGTGGAGGAAGTGGAAGAGTACTCTTCTCCACCACCGTGTGGCACTGTGTTATTAACGCCACTCGATCACTAAGTAAAGAACTAGTCTGATCAGTTCTGACCCGGTCACCGCTCCGTCCTGGTTTGACTCTCCAACCTGAGAACCTCTGACAGAAGCTCGGGCTGCGGCTGCAGTGACCGGGGCTCGCCACTAGTCTGATGATAGAGACAGAAGGCGATGATGGAGTCGACAGCAGGATGAATGAGACACCACCAGGACAAGGACGACATTACAGGTGACGGTGATGATGATGACATCATGAGCTGAGTCAGCAGCAGCTGACCAATCACAGCTCAGCTTTTTTTTTTTAAATTATTATTATGGGATGGAGCAGAGGTACAGTCCGACTGTAGCCTTGTTCCCAGGAAATAGACTAATGATGATTGACAGGCGGACGAGACGGTGGAGCCGAGTGGAGACATCACTAAGCCGAGTCACGAGATGTGGATGAAGAACCGCTGCTTTTTTTTTTTTTTTTTTTTGACATTTCAGCAGGTTTCTTCTTCTCTTAGAATCCGAAGTCGAAGACGATGCGGTCTTCAAAGATGGCGATGAGCAGCATGATGGTGAACCCGGTCAACATGCCCAGGTTCTGCAGGACAAAGTGGCCCAGCTGGCAGCGCTTGTGCTCCTCACTGTCTCCGTGGAGCATTTCAGGAAGCTGCAAGGAAGAAAACCACAGCGGGTTAGAGCTGAGGTTCTCAACCTGCGGCTCAGGGAACAATCAGATGAACTTTTTTAATTATTTCGTTTTTTTTTTATTGATAAACATCAGATGATGATTGAAAAAAAAAAATCTCATATGGACCAAAGAACTAGGACACGGTCCAGTGTGAACACGGCCCGCTAACTGTTAGCAGCTCTACCACTGGGCTAATCCTTGTTAAAAAGTTGCCGTGGTGACGGTTGACTGTTCCTAACTCACCATATCCACCAGAGCCACATATAGAAACATGCCGGCCGTGACGGCGAAGATCCAGTTGGTGACATTGTGAGTGTACTGGCCCACAGCCGTGCCAATCATCATGCCAATGTAGGCCATGAGGGCGGACAGCAGGTTGTAGACGATGGCCTGTTTTACTGACATCCCAGCCTTCAGTAGCACCGCGAAGTCACCTGTCACACACACACACACACACACACACACACAGACTTATTTAAACACCATTACAGACATTTCCATGTATCTGTCTGTTACTGTGACACTGTCGGAAAATTCAACCCAACGTGCGGCGCTGGTTTTTTTTTTTCTTCTTCCCCCAGTGGAGGTAACAGTCAGAGCCGGTGTTGCAGCAGCAGCAGCAGCAGCAGCAGCAGCAGCAGCAGCAGCAGTGACAGCTCGCTCTCATTTCTGTGTACAGTTTCTCCAGGTGACGTTCATCGTAGCGACGGAGCCGAGAGGCTGTGACACGTGTCACGCTGTGTCTTTAAGTGTCGTCTGACTCTTTGGTGATGATGATGATGATGATGAGGAGGAGGAGGAGGAGCTTTTCAAAACAACCTCTCCTTCGCACATCTGCCACCGCTGTCTTCAAGTAGGAGATGGGAAAAAAAAAAAAAAAAAGATTCCTTCGAAGAATCATGTCTTTGACTCCGCCCACTCTCCTTATGATCTCACACACACACACACACACACACTCCGTCGGCTCTTCAATCATCGCCGGGCCAAAAGCAGGGACGAGCGAGGCCCGAGTCTCAGAGGAAACGCCCTGGATTCACAGAGCGAGCGGATGAACACGGAGGCGGGCCGGCCTACATTTCCTGCACCTTGTAACGAGTGGCCTCGTTTCCTGCTAATCACCGCGTCGACTGTATCACGGCTGCGCTCGCCATCAATCAACACGAGGAGAAAAAAAAAAAAAAAAAAAACGGGTAAAAATTTAAAGCAAATATTCCAGGCACCTCACTTTAATGACTCCCTCCCCTCAGCCCCCGCCCCCCCTCTACTCCTCCACTCCACCATCAACTCCCTCCCGTCTTTGCAGACACTCAGACACGCCGGCCGCCCCCCCC